TTCCCACACTGTGTCTCCAGTGTTGTCCCCTTTAGGGCTATGGGTCAGTGAAGGACATCTTGTCTAATAGTGGGGTCAGCCATGTGGTCCTCTCTCTGGATTGGCTGCACATCGTCCTCAAGGCCTGGTGGGCCAAGATGTGCTCCACTCTCTCCTCCTCCCCATTCATCTGTTCCTGTGTGCTCCAATCAGATATGTCCCTCTCCCAGAGCTGCAGATTAAGTGCTGTTCTCTGAAATAAATTCTTCTGGGGAGAGGGGCAGGTGTTCACGTAGTTGGGATTGGGGCCGGCCCCTCAGACCTCTCCGCTGGTTCCCTACCAGGAGTTGCTTCTTAAACAGCAAAGCAAGGAAAGGGAAGTGCAAGATATACCATATATACTCGAGTGTAAGCTGACCCGAATATCAGCCGAGGTACCTAATTTTACCCCAAAATCTGCATTAAAAATGTGCTGAAAAAAAACTTGGCTTATACTCGAGCATATATAGTAAATTTGCTATAGCTGTGAAGCACTGCCAGGCTGCTCCTAACTCCCAGTGAGCCCGTGGGACAGAGCAGAACTGTCCGCAGGGTTTTCTGGGCTGTCATGTTCGTGGAAGCACATCACCAAGCCTTTCTCCTGTGGAGCCCACTGGGTGGGCTTGAACTGCCAGCCTCCAGGTTAGCAGCCCGAGCACGTAGGGGTCCTGAAAAATGTGCTTTTAGTGAAGCTAGTGTTTCCGTTGGAGAAATAGCCACAATTTCTGATTTTCTCATAAAGTCGCCAATGCATGCTTTATGGAAGTTAGAAGACCCCCAGAAAGTAGATAAAGCTGCACCGCATTTCGTTACTGGGAGGTCTACAGTCAAGCCGTGCAGGAAATGTGCTACGATAAAATGCTGTGTCTGCGTCAAAAGAGCACTTTCAATAGGTAGAACATTTGAAATGTAATTCTAAAGGATCAGAAAGTATGTGTCCAAGAATTAGCATGCTTTTCAGTCTTCAAACCCACTGCTGGTTTGAAGTCGAGTCGATGCTGGCTCATAGTGAAAACACACACACACCTTTATAGGACACAGTGAATCTTTATAGGAGCAGACAGCCTCATCTCTCTCCCATACAAGGAATGGCTAGTGGTCGGAACTGCTAGCCTTGCAGTTAGCGGACCAATGCCCAACCCTCAGACCACCAGTTCTTTTTAATGTATTCGTGATAAAGAAATCAGCAGTGCACCTTTCAGTCTTAGATTGAGTGAAGAAACGGTACCTTCAGAAGTGCTCGCTGTATCCAGGTCAGGGGGCCCTCCTACCATCTGCTCAGTCAGGACTTCGGGTGGCGTGGGCAACTGGAGATGGGTAGAGCTGGTGGAGCTCTGACTGGACAGAGTCGTTAAGAAGCGATCCTCTAAAAAAACACAAATCACCCTCTTCAGTGAATTATGTAAAAATTCTAAGGCCATTTCTACTTAATGTTCCTAAATGCCAACTAATAGATTTAGACCTCCTAAGCCAAGCTTGAGCGTTGTCGGTCCCCCGTCATGTTTCTGCGAATCTTAGACCCACACAACCATACTCACTAGCCTGTGATCTTCCTGCATTCTGCACCATTGATGTGGCTGCCTGAGTCCAAAGAGGGCCTTACGGACTGTATCAGGCTTCAGTTAGGCTGGGCTAGGATGCTTTCTTGATATAAAGTTCATTTGTATTTTTTAAAAATGAAGTGGGTCATTTAGCTGTTACAGAAACGGGTATAATGCAGAGGTTAGGTGACTTGATTATAATTAAGTCTTAGCTGTATTACAGTGGTGGACAACCAAGTCTGATTCCGAGCCAATACTCTTTCTACTTTACCACAACTACATAAATTGAAGGGCATTCAATTTGATAAGGAGCAAAACTAGGACACTAGTGTGTATGTGTAAATCTCAAATGCTCATTCTGAAAGGAAAAACAAAAAAGCTCATTTAACTGTAATAAAAAAACACCCAAAATCCTGAGTTTAAGTTTTTGTTCCCTAAAGATAGGCAAAGAAAATTCCCTCAAATCTTCAATGGTGATTTTCGCCTAATCCAATGAAATTCTATGAAAAGCCATTACAAATCTAGAAAATCTTTTAGTGACATAAAAATATAAATTAAGCTTTCTAAGATACTTTCAGTGAGTGAAACCTTTGAAATATGCCAAACAATTCAACTTCCCATTTCTCTTTGCTCTTCCCTAAGAGCAGTATTTCACATCACCCTGTACTTTATCTTCTCTCAATATATTTTATGATACTCTTAAACTACCATGATTATAAATACTTTAAAGAAAATCAAACAAAAGTTTGTGAACAAGTTCGTTAGAAATAAAAAAATCTTCAAGTGAGTGTGTATGCAGAACTGACAGCCTAAGAAATCCCCGGGTCCAACAGAAGGTGCTGGGCCGACAGACGCACGTACTAACCCTTCTCTCCATTCTGAAGCCCCGGAGACACATTCCGTGGGGAAGCATCCATTGTGCTTATCTGTGGAAAAGTAGATACTTTGTTACGAAGAAAACATTAAATTCTCATTTTTAAAGTCTCTACCCAGCAAATACATTTCTGGGGTCACACCTTGTCAGACTCCTAAGGATGCTCAAATTTCAATTACTACCTTGTTGGAAATGAACACTGGAACATTTGTAGAATATGTACTTATTGATTCATTTATAAAATAAACTCATTATGTTAACATAAATTTATTTTTTAAATGGTGAAAAAAAGTAGTGCTAGTTTAAACGTACGCAAACATCTTCACTGTCCACCTTAATAGAAGAAGCTGAATGATTACCTGGCTCCTGTATTTGCTCTGCTGAGATATATTGTTGTGAGTGAAAAATGTCAAGGAAACCCAACCACATAAATATACAATTAAGAAAATGAGACCTTGTGGACTTCTGAAAGAGTCTCAAATTTCTAGACGTCCTAGAACCACTCTTTTGAGTATATTGCTCTAAGACGTGGTTCTCAACCTGTCGGTCGCAACCCCTTTGGGGGTCAAATGACCCTCTTACAAGGGTCACCCGATTCATAACAGTAGCAAAATTACAGTTATGAAGTAGCAACAAAAATAATTTTATGGTTGTGGGGGTCACCACAACATGAGGAACTGTATGAAAAGGTCGCAATATTAGGAAGGTTGAAAACCACTGCTCTAAGAGCTCACAGTTTAGCACCCAAGTAGCAAAGAACTGCTTATGATTATCTAAGTCCGAAAAGCTTCTATTATCCACTTTTCTCAAACCCACACTCATAGAGAGATCTATTTAGAATGACTATGAGCCCCAAGTACAATGTGCCTACAAAGTCATTTCTTAGGTCTTTGCTCAAAGGTCACTATTGCAGGGAGACCTTCCCTGGCCACTTGATGTTAGGCCGCCAACTATCACCACCACCACCACCCACTACCTCAGCAAGCCCCCAATCCTTGTTTTTTTTCTTACAATTTCCCCCCAGATTTACTGGTTCATCTGTTTACTGTCAAGTCTCCCCCTCATTAGACAAAGGTTCACTGGACAATAGTCTTTGTTTTCAAATGTATACATTGTGCCTAAAACAATGTCTGACACATAGTTGTTAGTCCGGGCAGACTAGAGAAACAAATTCATAGACATTCATATGTGTATAAGAAAGCACTTTATATACAAGAGCAATTGAATACTGAGAAAACATCCCATCCAAGTCCAGATCAAGTCCATAAGTCCAATATTAGCCCATATGCCTGATACCAATCTATAAATTCCTCTTCAGATTCACGAAACACATGCAATGGTGTTGAATGCAGGAAGATCACAGGCCAGTGGGTGGATCCAGTGGCGGTAGAAGCATTTCCGCACAGGCAGGGGGCTTCACGTGGATCCTTCAACTACGGGGTTCTAGCATAGCTCCCATGTGTCTTGTCAGCAAGTATGTCTCACAGGGAGTCTGTGTGTCCCGCCTCCAGCGAGCTATGTATCTCCTTAGTGCCTCCAAATGAGCTCATCAAGCTGCGACCTGATTGACAGGCTAACTCAACCCCTTGACTCATACGTCTCAAATTGACAACAGATTATGTAACTACTACAACATACTTCTCCAGAATAGTCCACCAAATGAATGAAGATAATGGCATTATTCCAGATTTTCATATCAGCTTTCAAATAGATGATTCCAAGTTGATTTTAACTGTCTACAGACTAAAATCGGAAAAGTCTTACAACATTAGCTTTGCAGTTCTCCAATGTGCAAATGGAAAAGCTACCAGCTGTCTGTATTAGTCATTAGTAGCTGTATTAGTCTGGGTACTTTGGAGAAACAAATCTACAGCAACTCATGTATAAGAGAGAGTTTTATATAAAGAAAACGTGCATCACGAAAACATCCCAACCCAGTGCTGCCCAAGCCCACAAGTCCAACATTAACCCATTAACCAAACACCAGTCCACAAAGTCCTCCACCTCACAAAACAGAGGCAATGATGCCGACTGCAGGAGGAAAGCTGAGTCAGTGAACGAACAAGCATCTCAGCACTAGCAGGGGTCTCCACGCGGCTGCTCCAGCACCCAGGGCTGCATCGGGATAGATCCATGCGACTTTTCCTTGGGGATGTCTTGTAGGAAGTCAATCTTGCAAGCTGAAGCAGGGAACTGCTAAGGCAGCTGCACCCAGTGCAACCATCACAAAACAAGAGACCCGAGAGCTAGAAAGGCGAGGCTTCACCACCCATTTATCCCTCCGCCTTTCAATTAGCCCCACATGTGATTATTGGCCCGGTTGGCACAATTAACTAACTCAGTAGCCTTAGACTAGGCAGCAAATACTAGTATACAGGTCAGAGTCCTGGTGCCATAGTGGTTACTAGTTGGGCTGAGATTCACAAGGTCAGCAGTTCAAAACCACCAGCTGTTCCTTAGCATAAAGATGAGGCTTTTCTACTCCCGTCAAAAATTAGTCTCAAGGACCCACAGGTGCAATTCTACTCTGTTCTATCGGCTCGCTATGAATCAGCATCAACTTGATGGCAGTGAGTCAGTATTACACAGATCATCTTTACTTACCCTAATTGTTACTCCTATCTAAACTAAGAAAAAGTGTCCCTACACTGTTAAGAGACAAGGATTTCAGAGACCTAAGGCACTTGATCCATCTGTCTAAGAAAATATTTCTTTATACAAAAAGAAAACATTCTCCCAAAAGTCTTCATGGTGTGAGAACACTAAGCCCTTAGAATATATGGAAATTAACTAATTTCCTGTAAGTGTGGTGGATACAATCCTAAAACAGTCCCCCAGGATTCCCAATCCCTGATATATACACATTTTCCCCCAGTTGTTCAATCAAACACCAATCCACTTATTGCTTAGGAAGGCATTCTATATATAAGATTATGGTCCAAAATCAGTTGATCATAAAATAGGGAATTCATCCAGACAGGCCTGACTTACTCTCACATAAGCCCATCCAATCTAGAGACAAGGTACATATAACAATTTATTTGAAGGTTAGAGATATGACGCAAAAGAAGAACTTGATGCATTGCTACAGATTCTGAAGCTGGGGGAGTGGGGAGAAGAGGCACGTGGCATGGAACATACGGTCTTTAACTGAAGTCTGCCCACAACCCGAATGAGCTTAGAAGATGATTCGAGCCCCAGACACGGTGAAAGTCCCAGTCAAAGCCCGGTTTCTTCCAGGGGCTGAGAACCAAACCCAGCCGTGACATGCCAACATCTTCACCCAGGGAAAATATAAAATACTTGTTTTAAGCCCTTTCAGTTTCTGGTAATTTTTTACTCAGAGTACAGTCAAGAAAGGCTAATCAAATCAGTGGGTAGAATTAACCCAGTTCAGACCATTGAAGAAGAGCTGCTCATTTAAGTAGAGGCATAAATAACCAAAACTCCGGTGCTGGTCCAGTGGCTTTGCACTCCTGGGCAGCTGCCTTGCTAATGATCTTCACCCCTCGCAGGATTTTCCCAGCACTAAACTAACTTCAGAGCGTCCTTGTGAGACAAGTCACAAAGTTTTTTTAAAATTTCAGTCCCACAAATGTATTGGTCCCTACTAATCTGTATATTGAAGTGTAAATATACACCCATTAAAAAAATACTAATCCAAACAGCATAATATACTAAATTAGGACTCTATTATATACTCAAGTGAGTCACAGCGTTTGAGACTCTTTCAGAAGTCCATTTGGTCTCATGTTCTTAATTGTACAAGGGGGTACCTCCCAAAAAACTGGAATTTTTTTGGAGCGATGTATTTAGAATTTTTTACCAAACAAGCTTATCACCTTCAAAGTATTCTCCGTACACTTAATGCATTTGTTAAATCTGCGATTCCACAAAACACTAAGGGTGTGCGGCAGAGGATCTGGGGGAATAGAGCAGGGAGGTCCCAAGGCAGTGCCGAGGATAGACTTTGGGGCCAGGCTGTGGCACCCCATTGGACTCGACAGGAGGACACTTCTACAGGTCAGCAAACAGACCTTGAACTATTTACAAGTTTTTCTTTTTTTGTCATTGGTTTTGTTACTGTTGTTGTAGTCCTTCTGTTTTCTTTTGTCACTTAGTTTTGATTTATTTTTGGTGTGTATATTATTGTATCTGCAGGTCTATCTAGAGAAGATAGGCTGGATGAACAGTCTGGAGGAGAAAACAATGGGACTGATGGTTTAAGAGTAACATAGGAGTGGGGGGGAGTGAGGGAAAGGAGGTGGTGCTGACCAACCCAGGGACAGGGAACAACAAGTGATTCAAAGATGAGGGTGAGGAGGATGTAAGAGGCTGGGTAAAGCTTGATCAAGGGCAATGTAACTGAGAGAAATCACTGAAACCCAAATGAAGGCTGAGTATGATTGTATTAGTCTAGGTACTTTGGAGAAACAAATCCACAGCAACTCACGTATAAGAGAGAGTTTTATGCAAAGAAAATGTGCATCACGAAAACATCCCAACCCA